TTTCTAACCTCACTCCTTGCCTGAGGTGTGGTGAGTCACAGGTTAAACTCATGACCAGGCATCTCTCTCTCCAATGGGAGTGCATCCCTATAGCCCTATGGGATTGTGGCAACATTACCATTTAGGAGATTGGAAGAAGACAGATGGAAACTCCAGGTGCCAATTTTAACATAATAGGGATTCAAGGTCAGTATTTCCAAGCCCCAAGTTCAATCTGCACATTATTTTGCTCCTTGTTAGCCGATGTCTCACAAGATTTTTCATTCATCAGGATAACTTTAAACAAATCCATCTGGCAAGTCATGACAAGATTGATCACTGCTTATTTTGCACTCAATTTAATTATGCCTTCCATTAGAGTTAACTAATCTTTTCTCAGCATCTGAGAAGGGAAAGGACAAAGTAGATTGGTCAAGTGCTACCTGCCTCCATTCCAGATGCTTTAGATGATGACCTTGTTCCAGGCAATCACCACATGTTGCTGGATTTTTTAATAATGCCAACTGCCTTCAATCTTGAGGTATCACTGTTGTTGGTGTGTACTTGGCTGTCTCCCTGATGATAGGAATTGAAGGATCAACTGTTTTAGATTTCGCATCTGCTAGATTGCTTATGTCCTGCCTGTGGAAGATGACCCTCAGAACAGATTTTACGATTTTTTAGGATATCCATCCACCTTGGATATTTGCTAGTTTGCAGGTTTTGATGAATTTACCATTACCGTTGGCTGCAACAAGATCATCTACTTTGTACAAGTTTTCCTCTGGCACTTGACAGTGTGAGCTGGCAGCTAGGTTTTAAAACAATTCAGTAGTTTCATGGTCACCATTACTAATATGAACTTTTAAATTCCAAATTAAATTAGTTTAGTTTAAACATCACAGCTGCTTGGTGGGATTTGAATTTATGACTTCAGATTATCAATCTGGATTAATAATTACTGGATTAGCAATCCAGCAACATAACACTATGTTACCATACTATTTAAATTGAAAACAGTTTTCTGATGTCCTCAATGTCAAAGTTATCTACCTTTGCCAATTGTTTCTGGTCTCTGGCCAGGAGTTAGGAATTTGGACACTTTGAACAAAGGAAAACAGAAATTGCTGCAGAAATGCAGCAGGTCTGGCTGCATCAGTGAAGAGAAAACAGAGTTAAGTCCAGTGACCCTTCTTCAGAAGTATTAGGATCTTGGGTTCTTAGTACCAAAAAATTTCTGCCATCTTCAGTGAAACAATTCTCTTGCATTTTGTAATCTGAGTATTTAACTGTGGAATTTGCTGAGTTATGTGTGTCATACGTCAGTGGTGATACTGCTGATTTGGATGATCTAGATTCAAGATTGCAAAACATTCTGCTTGGATTTTGCCCTGAGTTTGGTTGTTCAGTTGGGGACATATTGGTTGTCAAAGCGCACAAGCTTTTGGGTGATACTCTGGCAAGAACAGAGTTGCAGTCTTGGTGGTACAACTTGTATTTCTTTCAGCTGGCCCTGAGAGTACTGCATGGGAATTCTACGTATTTGTTTTGTTACTAAGTGTTTGCAGAGGCTTTGATTTGGTTCATGTTTGCACTTCCCCCACTCAGTATTGTATGGTTATTTGCTCACTAGGCAGCAGCCTGGATTCTTGGAGGTGGGTTGGAGGTAGGTTTGACACCTTGAGTTGGTGAGGATTAAACTGCACTATTTCAGTATCTTGGCTCTGTTGAGTTTCCTCATGATGTGGAGGTGCCGCTGTTGGCACACGACACCAGGTTATAGTCCAACAGGTTTATTTGAAAGCACAAGCTTTCGGAGTCTTACCTCTTCTTCAGGTGTTAGTGAGAGAGGTAGTATCAGACACAGAATTTATAAGTAAAAGATCAAAGGGTCACACCAGTTATGAGGACGTACTAAACAAACCTAAGATGCTGTTAAATCTTTTATTAGTTAGAAGGTTTTAATTGATTAATATGTATATGTAAATCTCCAGTGACAGTGAAGTCACTGTCCTGAGAAAACTAAAGGTTTTATCAGTGTAAAGAAGTGGTGACATTTTAGGTCAGGCAATGCATTTTAAGGGTGAGGCCTTGTTTCTTTACATATAGGAAACTTTTCTTTTTTGATTAAAGAAAATAAAGCAGAAAGGAATTTAGGTCAATATCCAACCAAAATATATCAGAAAAGGAAATGTTTGAAGAAGAAGTCTGTTAAATTGACAGCCGATTTAGAATACTCATCAATGTCCAAAGTCACCATTAAACATTAACATCAAACATACAGTGTGTGGAAATTCACTCTTTTATTGAGTGCTGATCCCAGGCAACTTACACTGTCTGGAGGCTCATTTTGGTGCATCTGATTTGTCAGGAGCTTGGTATTAATTTATAATGATATAACACTAATTGATGAAGTTTCATTTAAAAAGAAATGTTTTCTTAGGGTGAGACAGGACACTGGGTGGAAGTATTGTGCTATGAGCAAAAAAAAATTAACAAGTACTTGTTACAAGTATGTAATAGTTCATATGACGTTTATTTTCTTTTATCCCACTGAATTTTCCTTACTGTTAGCAATTTTTCAACATTCTCTACCATAGAATAGAAAAAGTAAAAATGTGATGTGGAACTGTTTTGCTAAAATTTGATTATAATTACTGTAAAACAATTCAAAAAGGAAACTTTTTTTCTTTTTTGATGTCTACTTAAGACATCGTTAAAGAAAATGAATTGATTCCTGAAACTGTTACGTTGTCAAGGCATCTTTATAGTTTATATTCTTACAGCATAATCAGCTTTGGCAAACAGAAAACAGCTCTTGTTTATTCATTAAATTAAGCAAGACTTGAAGAAGATATTTTGGAGTTGCTTATTTGACTTCCCAGTATTTTTAGTTGATGTTGAAAACTTAATACTCAGAAAACTTGTGAAAGTACAGTTGCTTAATTTTATTTTGAACATTTACATGCAATGATACTGCATCTCTGTGCTTTTAAGCCTGGCATTTTCCAACTGTGTAAATACTTGTTTTCAAGCACAGGAAAGCTGATGTTCCTCCATCAGCTGTGAATTTCCAAAGACTATTTCTGAATCATAATTATGTTTCTTTGCAGAGATCTTAGAGGGAATTCTTTTCATTGTGATTGCAAACTGAAATGGCTAGTGGCGTGGTTAAGCAGCACAAATGCAACGGTTGATCAGGTTGACTGTGCCAGTCCAGTGGAGTATCAGGATGATAAAATTAATAATCTCTCACTGAAGGAATTTGACTGCATAACTACAGGTGAGTGCAGCAAGTATTTTCATCAGGATTAAAATTGAACAGTCTAATTTACCTATCAACTAATTTCTGCCTTTTTTGATTTTTCAGAATTTGTCCTTGATCAGTCTCTACAGTTTCAGTCCCTTTCCATTGAAGCCTTCACTTTCATGAATGATGCCCATGTTGTTATTGCTCAACCTATCGTGGGGAAGTGCAGCTTTTTTGAATGGGATCACGTGGAGATGGTTTTCAGAAATTATGACAACATTGTTGGTAAAATAATCAGTTCCCTGAAACAGTAATCTGTGTTGAAATTGTAATGAACTGTTTAAGCTCCTTTGATCCTTTTCACTGTAAACCGGTAAGTGCCCAACATGCTGGTTCCTGTGTCAACTGATATTGGTAACAGTTCCATCTTTACGTATTGTCCATCTCTTGTTCAATTCTGCCTTGTAAAACCTCTCCTCAGAAAATAACCTTTACTCCAATGTCCTTGCAAACTACTGCTCATCTTAAACCTCCTTTTTCTCTCCAAAGTTCTCAACTGTGTTGCTTTCTTTCAAATCTGTTTCCATCTTTTCAGGAACTGCATGCTTGAATAAGGTTTCTGCCCCTAACATAGTACTTAAACAGCTGTTTTCAAGTCACAGATGACAAAAGTAAACTTCCCTCCTTGATCTCCCTTCAGCTTTTGACATTCTCCTCGAACTCCTCTCCATAATCATCCAGTTGGCTGGGATTGTTTTCACCTTGGACCCAATCCTTATATTTTTTTCCTTCATTCAGGGCAAATGGGAGCTGCAGGCTGGGCCAATATTTATTAAAAATCCTTTATTGCCTTTGAAAGGTGGTGAAGTGCCTTCTTGCACCTAACACCATAGTGCTTTTAGAGAGGGAGTTCCAGGATTTTGACCCAGCGATGTCCTGGAGCTGGGATAACTGACCCACAACCTTTGTGCTGGGTATGATTCCAAGCAGCAGGGAGTTAACCTGTGAGTCTGAGTCATTGACACCAGTTTTGGTAGGGTTCCCTGATGCCACGTTTGGTGAAAATATGGCCTTGATGTCAAGGGCAGTCACTTTCACCTCATCTCTGGAGTTCAGTTCTTTTGTCTATGTTTGAACCAAGGCTATAATGAGGTCAGGAGCTGAGTGGCCCTGGTGGAATGCAAACTTAGCATCAGTGAGCAGGATATTGCTTAGCAAATGCTGCTTGATAGCACTGTTAATGACACCTTCCATCACTTTATTGATAACCAAGAGTAGACTGAAGGCCCAGTAAATGGCTAGGTTAGATTTGTCCTGCTTTTGTGTACAGGACACACCAGTGCAATTTTCCACATCACTGGGTACTTGCCAATATTATAGCTTTACTGGAACAGCTTGGCTAGACACATGGTAAGTTCTAGAGCACAGGTCTTCAGTATTATTGCTGGAATATTGTCAGGGTACATAGTCTTTGCAGTATTCAGTGCCTTCATCTGTTTCTTGATATCAAGTAGAGTGATTCGAACTGGATGAAGAATGGCATCTGTGATACTGGGGGCATGCAAAGCAGGCTGAGACTCATACAATTTGCACTTCTGGCTGAAGACTTTTTTTTATTCATTGATGGGATGTGGACATCGATGGATGTGCCAGCATTTATTGCCTAAATTAGTTGTCCTTGAGCAGATGGTTGAGAGGTGCCTTCTTGAATCCCCCTATCCATTTGTTGTAGGGAGGGAGTTCTAACATTTCAGCCCAGTGACACTGAAGGAATGGCAGTTGCCAACTCAGGATGGTGAATGGTTTGGAAGGGAATTTTCAGGTGAAGCTGTTCCCTTGTATATGCTGCCTTTGTCCTTTTTTATGGTATTGGTCACAGATTTTGAAGGTGCTGTCTAAGGTGTCTTGGTGAACTTCTGCAGAGCAGCGTATAATGGCCAATCATGTCTGTGCTGCTGAAAATTGAGTCTCCGAGCTTCATCATTTGTATTGTAGTCTTGATAATTACAACAATAGAGGTACAGATCCAGACACCTTTTAAAATAGTTGAGGGTTTCTGTCTCTGTTCCCCCTTCAGGCAGTGAGTTCCAGATCCCTACCACCCTTCGGGTGAAACCGCATTTCCTAATCTCCCATCTAATCTTTCCACAGTTCACTTTAAATCCATGTTCTGTAGTCAGTAACCATTTTGCTAAGGTCCTTTCCATCCCTTTATTCAGGTCCCTGACAATTTTATATATCTTGACTGAATCTCCTCTAAGTCTTCTCTGTTCCAAGGAGAACAAACCCAACCTGTGCAATTTTTCCTTATAACTGAATTTCTTGACTCTTGGCCACATCTTCATCAATCTTCTCTGCACCCTCTCTAGTGCATTTCTGTAATGAGGTGAAAAGACTCAAGTTATGGAATAAGTAAAACATATGCCTCACTGACCATTGTCCCCTATAACGATGGCAGCCCTAAACTCAGGGCCTAACTCAAAAGAAAGCCATGTGATGACCAGATCAGTGTAAACATGGGACCAGAAACTTCTTAATGGGTTTTACTCACAATACATCTTTGTGAAGCCTCCTCTCAGACCCCCTAACTCCGTTGGTCCTCACTCACTTGTAGATGGTTTGTACTGCTGTTATTGAGCATCAGTGGTGGATGTGGTGCCATTCAAGTGGGCTGCTTTGTCCTGAATAGTGTAAAACATCTTCAGTGTTGTTGGAGCTGTGCTCATCCAGGCAAGTGGGACTACTCCATCAAGCTCTTGACTTGTGCCTTGAGGATGGTGGACAGGATTTGGGGAGTCAGGATGTGAGTTATTCACTGTAGGATTCCTAGCCATATGGTGAGTCCAGTCCAGTTTCTGGTCAATGGTAACCCCCAGGATGTTGATACTGGGGGATTCAGTAGGGGTGACGCGATTTAATGTCAAGGGCTGACAATTAAATTCTCTCTTGTTGGAGATGGTCATTGCCTAGCATTTGTGTGACATGAATGTTTCTTGCCACTTGTCAATCAAACCTGGATATTGTCCATTCTTGCTACATTTGAAACTGGATTGTTTTAGTATCCGCGGAGTCACAAACAGTACTGAACATTAGCAATCTTCAACAAACATCCCCACTTCTGACTTTATGATGGAGGGAAGATCATTGATGAAGCAGCTGAATATGGGATGGGCCAAGGTCACTACCTTGAGGAACTCTTGCAGAGATGTCCTGGAGCTGCTTTGCCTGACTTCCAAAAACCACAAGCTTCTTCCTATGTGCCAGGTATGACTCTAATCAGCAGAAAGTTTTCTCTATGATTCCCATTGACTTCAGTTTTGCTGGAGCTCCCTGATATCACACTTGGTCAAATGTAGCTTTGATGTCAAGGGCAGTCACTCTAACCTCACCTCTGAAATTCAGCCCCTTTGTCCATGTTTAAACCAAGGCTATAATGAGGTCAGGACCTGAGAGGACCAAACTGAGCGGCACTGGGTGGGTTATTGCTAAGCAAGTGCTGCTTGATTGTGCGTTTGGTGATACTTTCCATCACTCCACTGCTGATCAAGAGTGGTAATGGCAGGGTTGGATTTGTCCTGCTCTCTCTCTCTCTGCAGGACTTAGCTAGGTAATTTTCTGCAAATGTTAGACTTCACAGTCAAATTTTTTGCACTGATGTACTGGACTTGCCCATCATTGAGGATTGAGATACTTGTGGAACCTCCTCCTCCAGTGAGTTGTAAGCCTCCACCATACACAACTGGATGTGGCAGGGCTACAAGGTTTAAATATGATCTATTGGTCATGGAATCACTTAACACTGTCCCTTGCTGTTCCTGCTGTTTGACATAAACATGGTCCTATGCAGTTATTTATCTATCTAACCCTAGCCAGAGCATCACTTGCCATGGTTTCTCCTGCACTGTTACCTCTGGTGTCTCTGAAGGTTCTGTTCTTAGCTTTTCTCCTATTTCTTACATGTTGCCCCTTCTGAAATAACCTCAAAATGCAGCTTTAGTTTTCACATATACATTGACATCAACCTATCCTTCATCACCCACTTTCTTGGTTGTCCACTGTTGCGAAATTATCAGACTGCTTATCTGATATCCGGTGCTGGACAAACAAGAAATTTCCTCCAACTGAATATTGTGAAGACTGAAACTATTGCCTTTGATTGCTGCTCCAAAATCCATTTCCTAACACAGACCCTATCCATCTCTCTGGCAATAGTTGCAACCTTGGTGTCATTTTGGATACCAAGATAAGTTTATGACTGTATATTTACGCCATCACAAAGATCACCTTTTTGTATCATCGTCCAAATCCACTCCTGCCAGCTGATCTGCTGCTGAAATCCTTTCCCAAAGCTTTAATACTACTAGATTTGTCTATTCTAATACACTCCTTTAATGAAAACAGAAAGTGCTGTTCAGGCTCAGCTGCAACTGTAGAGAGAGAAAAAGAGTTAACATTTTGACTCCGGTATAACTTCTTCAGAACTGAAGGGTTGCTGGAAAAGTGATGATGTAGAAAAGATGGGTAGAGGAGCAAGTGGAACAGATTGTCAAGCAAAAGGCAAAAGGAGTGCTGCTGATGGTGGAGAAGAGACCTGCTGTCTTTCTCCAGCTCTTTCTGATCTGATTTCAGATCTGCAGCATCCACAGTACTTTGTTTTTATTTTGATACATTCCTAGCTGGACTCCCACATTCTAGCCTTGGTACCCAAAACATGAAAATATAAGAATAGGAGCTAGAGTGGGCCATTTTTCCCTTTGTAACAGCTGTGCCATGCAATAAGATCGTGCCTGGTCTTTTACCTCAGTCTACCTCCCTGTGCTGTGCCATATCCCTCAATTCCCTTAGTCATCAAAACTTGAAGTATGTCTTGAATATACTCAACAGCTGACTTTCCACATTTGTCTAGGGTGGAAAATTTCAAAGATTCACAACTCTTTGAATAAAGAAATTTCTCCTCAATTCAGTCATAATTGGCCAACCCCTTATTCTGGAACTGTGATTCCATGTTCTGGATTCCCCTGCCAATAGAAATATGTTCTCAGCACCTGTTTTTCAAGTGACTTAAGATTTTAGGTGTTGAAATGAGATTGCCTCTCATTCTTCTGGACTCTGGGGAATATAGGGTATCTATCAATCTCCCCTTATAAGGCAATCCACTTCTCTCAAGAACAAGACTAGTGAATCTTGCACTCCATCTTGGGCAGGTATATACTTTATGTACAGAGACCAAAACTGCACTTAGTACTCAGGGTGTGACTTCTCCAACACTCTTTAGAACTGCAATAAAATGTATTTATTCTTACACTCCAGTCCCTTTGGAACAAAAGCTGTCAATTCACCAGACTTGTTCCTGAGATGGTGGGATTGCTTTATGAAATGAAAATGGGCAAACTGGGCTTGTATTTTCTAGAGTTGCAAAGAATGAGAAGTGATTTCGTTGAAACCTACAAAATACTTAAAGGGATAGACAGGGTAGATGCAGATATGATGTCTCCCTAGCTGAGATGTCTCAAACCAGGATGCACAAAATAAGAGGGATTCCGTAGGAAACTGAGATGAGAATTTTTTTTTAACTCAAAGGGTAGCGAATCTTTGGAATTCTCTATCCAGAAGGCTGTGAAAGCTCAATCTTTGAGTCTATTTAAACTGGAAGTTGAGAGATTTCCGATTATCAGTGGGTGTAGAGGGTTATCTGTTGGTGTGGGTAAAAGGCATTGAAGTGCTCAACCAGTCATGACCGTATTGAATGGTGATATGGGGCTTGAAGGGGTGAATGTTTTCCTCCTATTCCTACATTCTTATCAGGCCATTTGCATTCTTAATTGCTTGCTTTACTTGCATATTAACTGTCCTTGTTTCATGTACGAGGAAACTCCTTTCTCACGTCAAATCCGTTCACCCATTACCTCATGCTTTATGAAATACGTTGGCTCTCAGTTAAGTAATGCCTTTATTTTAAAATTCTTGTTCTGCTTTGCACATCTTTCCATGACCTCATCCTTCCCTACCTCTGTAATCTCCTCTCGCCATACATGCCCTCCAAAGAGCATCCCTCTACCAGCATCCCTCTAATTCCAGACTCATGAATATTCCCAATTAATCATGACACCCTTGGTGACTGTAGCTTCAGCTGCCTTCTGTCTCAGTTTTGAAATTTCCTTCCTAAACGTGGCAATTTTCCTTTCATCATTTAAAACACTCCTCAAAGCCTATCTTCATTGACAAAGCCTTTGGTCATATGTTCTAAAATTTGCTTATAGGGTTTGAATATCATATTAAAATGCTCCCATGAATCGTCTTGGGATATATTATTTTGTTAAAGGTTGTGTGTATAAATACAAGTTGTTAGAGTAACCTGTCCAGTTTTAGGCCTGACAATTTGAGATCCCTATGCTCCTCTAACTATGGCCTCCTCCCTGTCTCCAATTTTCAATTCATTGCTTTTAGTGGCCATGTCCTAAATTTTAAAAATCTCTACCTAAACCTCTCTGCTTCTCTACTTCATTTTCCTCCTCAAAGATGCTCTTAAAATATGTATGTGACCAAGTTTTTGGTCACCTAATACCTTTAAATCTGGAGACCACAGCGGGTCAGGCAGCATCCATGGAGAGAGAACAAGCTAATGTTTCGAGTCTAGATGACTCTAGATGACCTGCTATGATCTCCAGCATTGGTTGTTTTCAGTACAGATTCCAGCAGTAATTTGCTCCTACCTTTAAATCTGGTTTGGTCTGAAATTTTATTTTTAACACCCTTGGGTAGCTTTACTGCTTTAAAGACATTTTATATGCAAACTGTTAATTATTAAGACGTTTTCCCCATTCTGGGGCCCTATTCCACTGTTTCTGTTCCAACTATGACAACAAAATTGACAGCACTAACAATGTTAACAGTGTTAGATTCTTTTTTCTCTGCACATTAATAATTAACTTTCCTTCTCCTGGCGTAGGCAGCTCCACTGTGTTTTGCAAACCACTGATCATTGATGCTCAGCTGTTTGTTATTGTGGCCCAGCTGTTTGGCGGCTCCCATATCTACAAAAGGGATAGTTTTTCTAACAAGTTCATCAAGATGCAAGACGTGGACAACTTCAAAATCAGAAAACCCAATGACATTGAAACATTTGAAATAGAAGGAGAGAGGTACTTTGTGATTGCAGACACTTCAAAGGCTGGTTCAACTACTGTGTACAAGTGGAATGGAAATGGATTTTACTCCCATCAGAGTCTCCATTCTTGGTTCAGAGACACAGATGTGGAATATCTTGAAATAGCTAACAAGCCACATTTAATCTTGTCAAGTAGTTCCCAACGTCCTGTCATCTTCCAGTGGAATAAAAGCCAGAAGGAGTTTGTGTGGCGCACGGATATCCCAGACATGGAAGATGTGTACGCAGTGAAACATTTTGTTGTTAATGATGATCTCTACATTTGCCTGAACAGATTCATAGGCGACTCCAAAATGATGAAATGGGAGAACTCCAGGTTTGTGGTGAAACAGTCCTTTCCCTCCCGCGGTGCCATGGTTTTTCAACCTCTCAGAATAAACAACTGGCAGTATGCTATCCTTGGGAGTGACTACTCATTCACCCAGATCTACCGCTGGGAAAACAATAAAGAGAAATTTGTAAAATTCCAAGAACTAAACATCCAGGCTCCGCGATCATTTACATTTGTGGTGACAGACAATCGTGAGTTCATGTTCAGCTCAAGTTTCAAAGGAAATACACAAATATACAAACATATCACCATTGATTTGAGCACAATATGAGAAAACATTCAAGCCTATTTAAGAATCAGTAAAATGACATCTTAAAAGTAGCTTTGGGAAATAATATTTACATGGACGTGATAATGAAACATATGCATGATTTATCATTGTTCTGCAATGAATGCTATCAGGTTCCGGTTTACTGGGAAAAATATTTCTATTCCTAGTGTTCATTTTCCCTATTTTCGATTGCATTACGCATAGTGGTTTCTGAACTCTTACCGTAACACAGCGAGCAATTAACTGTTGTACTTTGCTGATGCAAGCTGTAAATATATGTGTAATCATACCTGTTACTACAGCCAATATTGAGATGTACATTTTCATTTATTTATTCTACTGAATGAACAATCTTACAAATAAAATCTTTACATTTTGGGTTGTTTTTAACAAAAATTATTTCACACCATTAACTCCTGAAGGAAAATGTTCTCTTTGCTAATGTGAGAAATATTATGTGGAAGATTTTGATTGTTCCTGTTTATATTCAAATAAATATGCTTGTTTCCCAAGAAATATGTTTATGATTTTGCTACAGTTAGCAAGCAGCAGTCTGTTTGAACTTATTAATGATTTCTCTACATAGGCATCTCCCTCCTTAGTCTAATATAAATACAATCATCATTTGTTTAAAGTTTTGTGCCAATCTGTTCACCTATTTGGTGGTGCTATTAGAATTTAAAAAATCGTAATTAAGACCTAAAATAATACCCTCTTAGCTATCCAATTAGGCCAGAGAATCTACTGCAATGGTTTCTGTTTCTGTCCTTTGTCTTTGAAATCATCCAAGGAAGACAAAAGCCATTGGTTTCAGCTTCTGCCACAGACTTCTGTTTTCTCACCCCCAATTCCTCTCACCGGCAATTCAATTTCTGTTTTTGGCCACTGTCCCATGATGATCCAGACTGTTTGCAACCTATGTGGCCTTGAGCTGTCCTTCTGACATCCGTCCCTGTCCATCAGAAAAATGCCTACTCCACCCCCATAAATCGTTGTTTAGTGCCTCTGCCTCATCCCATCCACTGCCAAGTTCTTATCCGTTGTTACTTCTATCTCAACTATTCCAATGCTGTCTTAGTCATCTGACCATCTTTTACTTTCCACACACCTGAACTCCTCCAAAACTCAATTGCCTATTTTCTAACCATTCCCAGCTTAACACCAATCATTCATCCCTGTGCTCAATGATCTACATTGGTTCCTGTTCCACCAACATACCAAATATAAAATTCTCACCTTATACTGAATTTGCTCAGTGGGTTTGGACTAGCCCTCACGCAGCTCTGTGAGCTCTGAATTGCATAACAGGTCAGAATTACTGCGCGATGAATTACACAAAGGTACATATGTTCATCATCAGTAAATTGGTATTTTAGTGTTGTAGCCTCAATGATACATTGAACAGGCATGAAAATAAAGCTGATCCATTATAAAGGCCCATCAAAGACTCTCCAACTGCCAGCAAGGAAACTTTCGCTTTGGGGGTTCAGAGAGTCTGAGAAAGTAGCTGATGAGAAACTGACAACTAATGAGGACTCAGAGGTGATAGCAGAGCAGCAAATTGACAAGCACAAAGCAGACCATTTCTTTCTTACAGATTTCTACTTTTTGCATTTGCATACACAAATAACATTTTATTAAGGAAGAATACTTTATTTAATGCTTTTGAGAAACTTCCAAGCTGTTTACATGCTATGCTGGAAACATTGTAGAGGTGTAGCTCTGATGTATCTGTGGACATGTGAGAGGGTTTTTAAAATCTGCAGTCTAACTTGCAGCATCTCCATGGATCTCTGCAGGTAAGTCATTGAACTCAAATGCAAGTATGTTTCCTAATGACTAGTCATCAAGACGTTGGCTAGATTTTTTTTCTTTTTGAGACAAAGTGTGGAGGTGGACATATAAATTGGAGGAACATCTGATCGGGCGTCTCAATTATCTTCTTGTCAGCTCATTAAATGTGCAGGCGGGGTATGACACTGGATTTTATGGGCAGGAAGTTCTGAAACCTGTGGTGACTTCTGTCCTTCAATGTCCAGGTGCCATATTTAAAAGGCACCTGGGCAGAACCTCACTCTCTTCAACCCGGGAGCATCATTCAATCTCTGCTCATCACTCTCCCACCCCTGATGATCTGGGATAACAGGCAAAAGAAAAATGTGCCAGTCCCTCCCTTGATCTGCTCCTGAAGCCTGTCCAGGACAGAAGGGAAGTTCTTTTCCCAATGAATAGCAACAGAAGTCCTTTCTGACCAATGACAGCAGGCTGCATAGTGTTAGCTGCAGAGGTCAGCATCTGTGGAAAACTCGAGAAGCCGACTCCAGTGTCATGAGGATAAATGATCAGCTGTGCTCTGCTATAGTATGTGCCACTGACTACTCAGTGCCTCATTCTTCTATGCATGTGAGTTAGCATTGTAAGGTTGCCACTATAGAGGGTTATCGCATGAGAGGTTGGGTGCCACATATCTCCATCAGATGCCTAATGTTCAATCAATGTCTTTTACTCATATGTAGTAATACTGGTACTACAGTGGACACAAAAATAAAAGATAGCCTTTTGGTTTGAGTTCCTTTTGAGTTGAGCCTCCCCAGTCAGTCTTGATGGCATTAGCCAGTGTGGCTATCTCTCTTCAGCAGGTGTGCTGGCCCGATCAGGCCGTAGCTCACCATTTAACAACTGCATATTACTGGGACTCATGAGCTGATCAATGTGGATTAGCTTCACCTCCAACAATGTAAGCATTCGCACAAAGAAATGGCTTGGTAATGAAGGAATCAAACAATTGAAAAGGTTTGTAACCTCCGGAGCTGAGAGAAAAATGTCTGCTTCACAAGGTAGACACCTCATGACACTTTCTGAAGAAGGGTCTTGACCCGAAACATCAGCTTTCCTGCTCCTCTGATGCTGCTTGGCCTGCTGTGTTCATCCAGCTCAACATCTTGTTATCTCATGACACTTGTGTTTCCTGTTTTTGGCTAACAAGATTAAATCTGTAAATATAATTCCAGCAGACTGGAATGTTATTGAGAATTAATGACATGCTCATGAATGCAAAACAGATTCCTGGCCACGAACCCTAAAAGGTTCTGAGAAGTCAATTGCAAAGTTTCAGCATGCCATCGGGGAAAACTGTATTTTTGCTTCATGCCCAATTAAAGTTCCCCACCCACCCTTCTAATAGCCCCTGCTGGGTAAGGAAAATTTGACCTTGAGGTCTAACTGAAAGATTTTCACTCTTGGTTTTGAGAAGCTAAGCTATGGACTTTGATTCCAAAGGTTTGAGGTTCAGTTCTCACACAGGTTCATGTGTTCTCATGTCATCCTGAACCTAGCACATGGTGGCAGGGCTTATAGGCATCGCTGGCGAGGCCATCATTAATTGCCCATTTCTAGTTGCCCTTGAGAGGGTGGTGGTGAGCTGTCTTCTTCAACCACTGCAGTCCCTGTGTTGCAGGTAGACCCACAATATTGTTAGGGAGGGAAGTCCAAGATTTTGACCCAGCAGTACTGAGGAAACAGTGGCTTGGAGGGGAACTTGCAGATGGTGGTGTTCCCACATAACTGGTGTTCTGGTTCTTTAAGATGGAAGTGGTCACGAAATTAGAAGGTGTTGTCTAAGGAGCTTCGTTGGTGGTTGATGGAATGAATATTTGTTGTGCCAATCAAGCAGGCTACTTTGTGCTGGACGTACTTGAGAATGTCATCTTTGAGAGTGTGAGCACTTTAAATGGATCTTCCACTATTGATCGAGTGAACAGATTTTCAAAATGAAAACCCTGTACATGTTGAAAAGCCGTGAGATGGTGGGATTGTTTGGAGATTGACACATTGGGTGAACAACAGCAGGAGCCTGGGGAAGGTGGAGTTGAAGTTGGCAGATCATGAGATGTCATCTCCTGGCATACGCCCAGCCAGAGTTGGCAACACTTCTACATATTGTTGTTTAAAAGGTGTTGGTGCCAAAAAGGTAGTGACAACTCCTTTGGGGACGTGACAGGGAGAAGGGAAAGAAAACAGAAGCACTTTGGAAATGTACTGGTCCAAACTGGACCATTTCAGACCATGACCAGCCATTTCCAAGTTTTACTGTTTTTGTTTTGTCTTTGTGGCTGCTGTATCCAATGCAACATGATGCTATCAGTGAAACTGGAACAACATTTCACAGAGATATTATCTCCAGCAGACCCAGTTTATATTTCGGAGATAGCAAGAACTGGAGTCAGATCAATACAGCATGAAGCTGGAGGAACACAGCATGTCACGCAGCATCAGAGTCGACATTTCAGCTCGGAACCATTCTTCAGGACTGGGGAGGGGGAAGGGACCTGGAATAAATAGAGGGACTGGGGGATGGTGACAGGTGGATGCAGGTAGGGGGTAATGGCGATTGGTCAGTTGGCAAGGTGGGGCGGATAGGTGGGAAAGAAGATAGGCAGGTTGTGTCAGGTCAAGGAGGCGGGGATAAGAGGAAGAGTTGGACATGAGATGAGGCCGTGGTTGTGGAGGGGTGCAGTGGTGGTATGGTGTATTGACCTCTAAATCGTGGAGGCCAGCTGCCAACTCTCTGACGTCTCTTCCTACCACCCACTTGATTATGACCCCACCCCGCATCACCAAACCATCATCTCCCAGACCATCAATAACCTCATCACCTCAGGAGACCTCCCACCCACAGCCTCCAACCTCATTGTTCCTCAACTCCACACCACCTGTTTCTATCTCCCCCTCCCACTCCCTGGGTGACATGTCCATCCTGGGCCTCCCCAGTGTCACAATGGTGCCACCCGCAAACTGGAGGAGCAGCACCTCATATTCTGCCTTGGAAGCCTACAGCCCGATGGCCTAAATGTGGATTTTACCAGTTTCAAAATCTCTCCACCCCAGCCAAATCCCAAGAAGGGGAAAAGGAGGAAGTGGATTTGGTGAAGAGGTGGGTGTGGAAGAATGCCTGATGTACATTTAGGAAATCGCCACAGGTACCGTGGCGTTTTACTGGGTGAAAACTGACCCATGAACTGAACCTTGCTGCTTGTGGGATCTTGCTGTGCACAGGTTGACAGCTGCCATTCTCAAAAGTGAACACACATTGGGCTCCCACCTATCCCCTCCTCCCACCTCAAGCCCCACCCCCATCTCCGACCTACCAGCCTCATCCCGCCCCCTTGACCTGTCCGTCCTCCCTGGACTGACCTATCCCCTTCCTAACTCCCTACCTACACTCACCTTTACTGGCTCCATCCCCGCCTCTTCGACCTGTTTGTTTCCTCTCCACCTATCCTCTCCTCTATCCCTCTTCTATCCGCCTCCCCCTCTCTCCCTATTTATTTCAGAATCCCCTTCCCCTCCCCCTTTTCTGAAGAAGGGTCTAGGCCCGAAACGTCAACCTTCCTGCTCCTCTGATGCTGCTTGGCCTGCTGTGTTCATCCAGCTCTACACCTTGTTATCTCAGATTCTCCAGCATCTGCAGTTCCTACTATCTCTGAAACATTGGGCTATATATGTACCTTATTACCTCTTGAGTGATTTGGGTCGACCTGTGGGGCTGGAAGGTGCTATGTCAATGCACAGATAAGGGTCCCTCCTCACGGAGATGCTCTTGCGATAGGTTCAGGACGCGGTTTCTATGGCAACCGTAGCCATGGGCATGAACCGGAAGGAGAGCTCGGGAGTGTCAGAGGTCGTCTGCTAACCGGAAGTGGTGGGGACGCAGTCAAGTTGCCGTTGGAAGCAGCAGCAGGAAGAGGAGGCCTCCCCGGGAGCCAGCGAGCGATTGATTTGCCCAGCTCTCTCGAGGAAAGATGAGTCACTCGGCCGAAGAGGATCGCCGTCCCTCGGCGGGGAGCGATCCCGGCAGCAGCGGCGGAGTCCGGAACCCCGAGAAACGGAGACTGCAGCGGGAGGACGACGAGGACGAGGAGGATCGGGTGAACGGGCCGAAAGTCCGGGTATGGAGCGTGGGGACGAGAGAGGGGTTGGGGTTGGGGTTGGGGTTGGGGTGGAAGGGGTGGCAATGATACTCCGTCTACAGAATCCCCTATCCCCTATCCCCTATCCCCTATCCCCTAACCCCTAACCCCTAACCCCTAACCCCTATCCCCTAACCCCTATCCCCTAACCCCTAACTCATCCTGCCCCGTGGCTGCAATCAACATCGATTGCACTGTGAGGGAGCAGGGCACCCTCGGTGTGCAGTGGGGAAGGGAAGGGGTGGGGACTGGGAGTTGGCAACTTTGGTTCTACCCACTGCATGCATGTTGGGGTGGTGGGAAGCGTGTAGGGATGTCTACCCTGCTTGGTCTATGCTGTGTGTTACATACCTGTGGCTGTACCCACTGAATATCAGAGTGGCTGTGTTTTCATTCAGGTGCAGGAAGGGCTGAAGGACATGCTCTGACTGGCTGGAAGGTGCAGTTGCGGGAGACATGATTTTGGTTTCTGAAGATTTTAGTTTAGGAAGGAATTCCGATAAGAGCTGTAATATATTTTCTAGTCAATGCTGACTTAAATCCGGAACCTGGTTCAGAGGCAGCAAGAGCCCTGAATAAAACTTCTAAAATATAAGTATATTTTTAAATCAACCTGTGCAGAGATGTTATTACATACCTATGCAGCCGGTGGGATTTGACCCTGTGCTTGATCTTGGTATAGAGGTAGGGACACTACCCCTATTGCAAGAGCTCAATAAAACCTCTGATTACATTGACAAAGAAAATGTCCTCAGGTATACGTTTCCTTCCCTGTTGACTGATGTTGCTGATTATCTGAAACAAACAATGAGGCTCGGTGGGAAATGCAGGGTTACAGGGATGGGGGGAGGGGGGGAGGGGGTGGAATCAAGTCTGGGTGGGATGTTCTTTGGAAGTGTGGACTCAATGAGTCAATGGGTTGAATGGTCTGCTTCCACACTATAGGGGTTCTATGATTTTATGATACCTGGTCGCCTGTGGTAGCTTTAGTCATTCTCTAAGTTCCTGTTTCCTTTTATTGCACTGACATAGTACAAACTGTTAAGAGAATTAGAGCTGAGAAATGAAACACTGTCACTGATAAATGGTCTAACAAATGTTGTGAATTCAAGGTCAGAGAGATGCTGAAAGTTACTGAAAAATCCACTCAGTTTGCAGATGAGTGTTGGACATTGGCCCAAAAACGCAATAAATTCCTTCAGGTTAAGAGACATATGGCTATGACTGGAGACCCAACTTGTAAAGAAGTAAGGTGATGGGATTGAAATTTCTTTCTTTATTAATTCTCAATCCCCGCTTTGCTACTTAGCTGCATCTCTTGACAAACAAAACAAATGGGCTTGATAGAATAGTTCTTGGGATGATTTTTCTCTTGGGGAGTTGAGGTTGAGGGGGGGCCACAGCCTCAGGTTAAATGGCTAACTGTTTAGGCCTGAGATCAGGAGGAAGTCCTTTAGATCTTTGGATTTCTATTCTAGAGAGCTGTGAATGCGCAATGATTGAGTATATCCAAGATGGAAGTGGATACAGTTTTGGCAAAATGGAAATGAGATCTGGTGATAGTGCAGGGAATTGGAATCGAAGTAGAAGTTCTGTCATGTTTATATTAAAATGAACAAAAGCCTTTATGGATTGAATGGTCTGCTTTGGCATTTTGGAGGAAGTAACAAGACAAAGGAGTACTTGAATGGCACAGCACAATGAAGCTCAGAGAAAAGGAAAGATCTTGGGGTGCTTGTCCACAGATCCCTGAAAGCAGCAGGACAGGTGGTTAATAGAGTAGTTAAGAAGGCATATGGATGGAAGGGCCTCTTCTGTGTTGTATGACTTTATGACTGAGTGGAAAGATTTCAGTCAAGATAGGCATCTTACAGAACACTTTTGATTTCATTTTTTAAAATTTATTTTAATGACGTTAATGATAATAGACTCTTGTGTTAAAAATACAAAAACAAACAAAATCCAGATTTAGCTTGAATTTGCTCCAGATACCCTTCATTCAACACATTAACTAAAATTAATGCTGACTGGAGTTCTGTACAGTAATATCACTGTGGGAAAGCAGTGTTTGAATGACGGTGGCCTAGATGGTATTTGGGATTAGGACTTTAGCCTCTGCCAATGATGCATTAGCTTTGAAACATGGCACCAAGAACAATAGTGCACATGTCATGTGTTTGAGAGAACACCAGGCATGAAAACTCTGCTTACATTGGGCAGTAGTCACAACTTAAAATTTCACCTGTTTGCCAAGACTTAAATGTCATTGGTTAGCAATCTTGCATTGGCTTGCGGTTATTGGCTGTGTGGTTGAGTTTGCTAAAGCATTCTGTAAATCTTTACCATGAATGAATTTTTCTTTCCTTATTCTCCATTTTTTGTTTAATTTCCATGCTGTCCTGAATTAAGATGTATGATGATGCAAAACCTATTTGTATTGTCTTTTAATGCTCAGTTTTGTTTCTTTGAATCAGAAAATAGATGAAGGTTACTGCAGCAAAGTGGCCGCACACTACAATGAGCTTCAAGAATGTGGCTTGGCAGTACGTAATCAGAGTCGTATCTTTTACTTGCGAAACTTCAATAACTGGATCAAGAGCGTCCTTATTGGTATGTAATCTCTGATTTATACTTTCAATCCCTAAGGGTGAACAACAATTGGCATGCATTTATGTAGTGCCATTCACGTCCCCAGGACATCCAAAACCATTTAACAGCCAGTGTAGCATAGCAATGTAAGAAACGCGCATTCAGTTTGTTCATAGCAAGCCACCACTTGCCACGGGAATGGCAACTGGGTGATTGTACTGGGGAGTCAGTTTATGAATTTTGAACAAGACCTCAGAGGGAACTACTCTGCTTCTGTCTTGGAATCTTTTTAGCACACTGTAAAGGTTTGAAATATCAATTGATGTAGGATAAAATAACAAGCCCATAAGCTGAATATTTTGGAATAGACTGCCAAATCTGTGATTCAGCAGAAGGCATCAAATCATAAGCTGTCACGTGTTGTATTTTAACATTCAGTAGCTAAAATGCTGGAATTGGCAAAGCTTTTTACTTGCGCACACATATCTCAGCTGTTATCCAGTGAAGTTCAGAAGACACCCTAAGTTGTGAGCACAAAGATCAATCCATTTATTCCCATCAACTGATGAGTGAAATGTATGGAAATCATTGCTCTGTGTCCATTGCATACTTTCTTCCACAAACGTTTATGTTGTGTGGAAACAACAAGGAGAATTCAGTTTGAGGTGTGGTGACAACATTGAAGGGGGATTTGTTTGGTCACAATAACTTGACCATTGTAGGCAATTACTAAAACTTTAAATTGTCTGTAGTAATCTATGATAGTTACATATGCTGTTATATGTTTGTAAACTTGTTGTCGAGCAGGTTACTTTACGTTTCGGAAATACCAGAAACTAGAATATGCCGTAGCAAGGCAATCATTTTGTGGGAAAGAAAAAGTTTATAATTTGGATGTGACTACTCATCTGAACCACATTACACATATGTGAAATGTACCCTCCACCCCTAGCCGTGCGTGTCTTAGCATTTTCTGCTGTCATTTCATTGCCACGATGAACTGCACCAGATAAATATGTGGTTAGTAATAAATCAGACAATGCCATTTGAGGAATTTTGAACTAAATTGATAAGTTCTTGCCTTTTATTGCAGGTGAGTATCTTGAAAATGTAAAGCAGAGGAATAGACACAACATCACTGTCTTGGACTTGGGCTGTGGAAAAGGTGGTGATTTACTGAAATGGAAAAAAGGACAAATTAACAAGTTAGTTTGTGTCGGTAAGTAATTTTGTAGGGGGAGCAAGATAACAATTTTTTTGTTTTGGAAATTGGTCCAGAATCGAGCATTGTATCAAATATTTGAATTGTGCACTATTTTTAGTTTAGTTGATTTATTTAAAATATAACTTAATCTTAAGACTTGTATGATATGAAAATCTCACTGAGATTTAAGTTAATCTTGTTCAAAAAAAAATACTGTTGGAAAGAATGACCCGAAATATTTTTGCTATTTGTGTTGAAATGTCATCAGCATTTGAGCTTTAAATGGCAGAAGTAATTTATTAGTTATTAATTCCAGGAGAATAAGCATGCAGTCCAATTTATTTAATTACTGAAGAATAATTTTCTAATGTAAAACTGTTTCCTTTTATTATTTTCACTTTTGGTTCTTTACTGTCAGTTTCTTCATTTGAGATTAATTGTGATGACGTAATATATTTCTTTCATTCTTCATTCGCCACATGTGAAATGAGGCTTGTGTTACCTTTTTTGCCTGCAAAGGAATCTATTTTAGCGTTTAATTTACTGTAGCACCGAATTTACCTAGAAATTGAGACCGGTGTCAGATGAAGTACAAAACATGTTTTTAAAAGTTGTACCTTTATGTTCAATTGGTGAGGCTGATAGCTGCTTAAATTCCTTTTCACCCTTCTCCTCGAACAGATATTGCTGATGTTTCTGTCGAACAGTGCATTCACCGGTACGCTGACATGAAAAACAGATGTTATTCAAACGAACATCTTTTTGCTGCAGAGTTTATAAGAGCAGACTGCACTAAGGTAAAATGCTTTCAATTTAATTGTATCTGATCTTCAAATCCATTATGCATTGCAATACATTTGTGTTTTATGAAAATCTTTATAAATGTAGATGATTTTAGAAGCCTAGTTTAGCGGTGATAACTATAATGTTCATAAATTCAGAAAAAAAGTTTTGTTTAGATAACTTTCAGAATCCGATTACTGGTGTACTAACTTTTTTTTGTTTTTATAAATGCATTGAAATTCACCAGTATTCTTCCACTTTATATGGTCTGCTTCATGTTTATTCTCAGTGCTTTATCTAATAAGTTCTATTAGTGGAATTTAGTGCTTGAGAATTGGAATAGCAGATAATGTGTTTGGCAATTTTACGTTGAACGCAAAGGGCTGTAAATGGGACCTCAGTAATTTGGATCTTGTGCCAGTTTATAAGGATAGTGGGAAATCATAGTGTAGGATAATGGATTTTGCTCTGGACTATTCTAGTAAAGAGTTGGTATAAAGCCAAAGCAATCATTGGTCTGCTTCTGTCCTAGACCTCTTTGATTCCAGAATATCTGTGGAATGCAATCTCCATTTTTACATTTACTTGCCTGTCAGTCATTGAATTGAATGCATGTAATCTTTGTCAATGAAATTCCATCCAAGCAAATATAGTAAGTTGTTCCTGCTGCAAAATTGCAATCTTTCTGACCTGGAGATTGAAGAAAACTAGATGTGCAAGTTATGTGCAATCTAACTAGCCTGAAGCTCAGTAAATTACATGCTAACTGAATTTATTCATGGGATTTGGGTATCGTCAGCGTTTATTGCCCTAATTGCCCTTGAGAAAGTGGTGATGAGCTATCATGTTGAAGTGCGGCACTCCATTTACTGAACACATGAACAAGAAACAATTTTAGGCCACTGACCCCTTTGGGCCTGCTCTGCCATTTAATTTTAACCTTGATGCTACATACCTGCATACCCCACAGTGATCTTTCAACCCCGTGCTAATCAAGAATCTATCTATTTCTGCTGTAAAAATACTTAAAGATTCTTTTTTCCACTGCTTTTTGATGAAGGGGATTCCAATGACACTCGACATTGTGAGAGAAATGTTTTTTCCTCGTCTGTCTTAAATTGTCGACCCCTTATTTTTAAAATCTGACCCCTTGTTTTAGATCCTTCCCCAAGAGAAAACATCCTTTCCACATCCACCCAATCAAGACCCCTTGGGATCAATTGTCTCAATTAAGTCATCTCTGACATTTCTAAACTTCAGAGGATACAGGCCTAGCCTGTGTAGTCTTTCTTCATACAGTATACTGTGCATTTCAGGTATTAGCCTGGTAAACCTTCTCTAAACTGTTACCAATGCATTGACATCCTTCCATAAGTGTGTTGACTAGTACTGTACAGAGTATTCCAGATGTAGTTTCACCAGTACCTTGTACAACTGAAGCATAACCTCCCGACCTTTGTATTCGATTTCCCCTTGCAATAAAACCTAATGTTCTTTTAGCTTTCGTGATTACTTGCTGTACGTGCATCCTAATCTTCTGTGATTCATGCTCTAGAATGCCCAGATCTTTCTGCATTGTGGAGCTCTATAACCTCCCATTGTTTAGATATTTTGCTTTTGTATTCTGTCTGCCGAAATGGACATTTTCACGTCTTCCCACGCTATACTTCGTTTGTCAGTTCTTTGCCCACTCACTTGGTTTGATTTGGTATGGGTACATCCGTAATGATGGTGAGGAAATTCCAGGATTTTGACCCAGCAACAGCAAGGAAATGGCGATATTTTTACAAGTCAGAATGTTGAGTGGCTTGGAGAGGAACTTGCAGGTGATGGTATTCTCATGTATTTGCTACCCTTGTCCTTCGATATGATAGAAGTTGTGGGTTTGGCAGGTGCTGTCTAAGGAGCTTTGGTAAATATCTGCAGTGCATCTTGTAGATGGTACACACTGCTGCTACTGAATGTCACTGGGCGAGGGATTGGTACTGACAAGTGGGCTATCAAGCCTGAGTGTTGTTGGAGCTGCACTCGTCCAGGCAAATGGGGTGTACTACAGTGCTACTCCTGACTTACATCTGCAAGATGTCAGGCTTTGGGAAATCAGGTGGTGAGTTACTGCAAGATTTGTAGATTCATACAATTTTACAGCAGATTCCTTGACTTAGATCTGCTCTTCTAGACATGGTATTTATATGACAGGTCCAGTTTCTGGTCATTGGTAACATCACAGGATAGTGGGGGTTTTGGTAATGGGTCATGCCATTGAATGTCAAGGACAGTGGTTAGATTCTCTGTTTGAGCTGGTTATTACCCGGCACTTGTGTGAATGTTACTTGCCACTTGTCAGCCAAAACCTGGATATTGTCATTTTTCTGAAGAAGGGTCCTCACCCAGAACATCAGCTTTCCTGCTCCTCAGATGCTGCCTGGCCTGCTGTGTTCCTCCAGCTCCACGCTGTGTTATCTCAGACTCCAGCATTGGCAGTTCTTACTATCTGTGGATATTGTCTTGTCCTTGCTGCATTTGAACATGGGCTGTTATCTGAGGAATCATGAATTGTCAAATATTAAGCAAACCTGCAGCACAACAGGGTAGGTTCCAGAATTATAGCTGTAATGGAACAATTTGGCTAGGTATGTGGCAAATTCTGCAACATGTTTTTAATACTATTGCTAGGGTCCATGGCCTCTGCTGTATCCAGTGTCATTAACTAATTTTTGATATCACTTAGTGAATTGAATTGGCTAAGGACTGGCATCCTTGATTTGAAGGCAGAATGAGGCAGAGAGATCATTCACTTAGCACTTTTAGAATCCCCACAAAATGGAAACAGGCCCTTTGGCCCAACAAGTCCATGCTGACCCTTGGAGCATCCCACCCAGACCCACACCCCTATAACCCCCCTAACCTACACATCCCTGAACACAATGGACAATTTAGCATGGCCAATCCACCTAACTTGCACATCTTTGGACTGTGGGAGGAAACTGGAGCACCCGGAGGAAACCCACGCAGACACGGGGAGAATGTGCAAACTCCACACAGTCACACGAGGCTGGAATCGAATCCAGGTCCCTGGTGCTGTGAGGCAGCAGTGCTAACCACTGAGCCACCGTGCCGTCCCAACCTTTTGGCTGAAGATTTGTAGCAAATACTTCAGCCTTCTCTTTTGCATTGATGTGCTGGACTCTTTCATCATTAGAGCTTTGTGGAGCTCCATTCTGTATCGAGTTGTTTCATTGTGCAACACCATTCACGATTGGATGTGGCAGGGCTGCAAAGCTCATATCTGATCTATTCATTTGTGGAATTGCTTAGCTCTGTTTATAAGTCACTGCTTATATTTCTTGATACACAGTAGTCCTGTGCTTTAGCTTCACCCAGCTTGACACCTTTATTGTTAGTTATGCTCAGTGCTCTTCCTTGCGCGCCCTTCCTCACTTTTCTTTGAACCAGGGTTTCTCCCTGGCTTGATGGTAATGGTGGAAGTGGATATGCTGGGCAGTGAGGTTGCAGATTGTTTTTGAGTATGTTGCTGCTGCTGATGATACACTTTCACAGGTGTCCAGTCTTGAATTATTAGGCCTGTTCTAATTTGATCCTATTTAGCTTGCTGGTAGGACCACACAATGAAATGGAGAGTATTCCCAATGTGAAGATGGCACTTCATCTCCATGGGGTCTCTCTTGATACTGTCATGAGCAGATATATCTGTGGCAGAGAGATTGGTGAGGATGCGTTCAGTGTGTTTTTCCCTCTTGGTTCCCTCACCACCTGCCATACGTCCTGCCTAGCAGCAATATCCTTTAGGACTCAACCAGCTCAAGTCAGTAGTGGTTCTTCAGCATTGAAGTCCCCCACCCAGAATTCATTCTGTGCACTTGCCACTCATGGTGTCTCTTTCAAGTCTGGCTCAACTTGGAAAAGAACTGATTAATCTGCTGAGAGGAGGGTGTTAGTATGTGACGAAGCAGAATGTTTCCTTGCCATGTTTTGCCTGATGCCATGAAACCTCATGGCGTCTGTAGTCAATGTTGCGGAATCCAAGAAAACTGCTTCTGAACTGTATGCCTTCAACTCCACTGGGCCTGTCCTGTTCATGGGACAGGACGTACAGTGGCCAGTGCTGATGGTGCCTGGGCATTTCCTGTAAGATTGTCATACACATGCATTCCTATGTCTGGATCTTGCTTGACTGGTTTGTGACACAACTCTCCCAGTTTTGGCACAAGGCCCAAGGTCTTAATAAAGAGGACTTTGCAGGATTGGCGGTGTTGGATTTGCCATTGTCATTACTGCTGCTTAGGTCAGTGCCAGGAAGTCCATCTGGTTTCTTTTCTTTTTGAGATCTTGTAGCATTTAGATACAACTGAGAATCTTGCTTGTCCATTTCAGAGGTTAGTTAAAAGTTGACCACATTGTTGTGGGCCTGGAATCACATGTAGGCCAAACCAGGTAAGAGTGGCTGATTTCCTTCCCTAGAAGGGCATTCGTGAACCAGGTGAGTTTATCTGATGACTGATCCTGGTTTTGTGGTCATCGTGGGACTTTTAATTCCAGATTTGTTTTGAATTGAAATTCCACCATTTGCCGTGGTAGGATTCACATCCACGTCCCTAGGGCATTATCTACGTGTCTGGATTGTTAGTCTAGCAACAATGCTGCTATGCCATCACCTCCCCTCAGTTGTTAGAATCTGAACAAAATAGCAGTGAGGGAAGCTATTTGGCCCGTTGTGTGGTTCTTTGGAGCAGTCTAATTTGACTCTTCTCTCTCCTCTCCTCTTCCCCCAACCCCCACCTGTCCCCCGCCTTCTTTCTTGTAACTCTAAATTTTTCCCTTTCTACTGTTTACCTGGTTCCCTTTTGAAAATTATTGTTGAATCTTCTCTGATCACCTTTTCCAACATAACTGTGTGGGTGTTATTCCTGGTCACCTCTGATCCTTGTGCCAATTTGCTTAAACCTATTTCTTTCAGTGACTGATTCTTCTGACACTGGATGTGGTTTCTCCTACTTACTCCCTCAAAACCCTTTGTTATTTTTAAACTCTTGACCAAATCTCCCCTTCACCTTCTCTGCAGCAAGAAGGGAAATCCCAGTTTCTCCATCCACACCTGATACAATTTCTAGCAAATCCCCTGTTCCCCCTCTGGATGCCCATGATCTCCTTTGTAGATCTTGTCCATTTTAAAGAAGTTTGGAAATCTTAGTTATGGTTTGTCATGACGAGGACTGAGGTGGGAAAATAAAAATCCAAATTGATTCTTTTTAATGACTGACCACAGAGGTGTGTGACATAACATAGCCTGAAAGGCATTGGGAAGAGAAGGTTGGTAGAAAAATGACCATTTTAAAAATTCATTCATGGGACGTGAACATTGCTCGCTAGGTCAGCAGTTAATGCCCATCCCTATTTACCCAGTGTCAACAATAATGTTATGGTTCTGGAGTCATGTGTAGGCCAGACAATTTAAGGATGGCAGATCTCCTTCCCTAATAGGAATTAATGAACCAGCTGGGATTTTACAACAAGCATCAGTGTAGTTGCTACTAGACAAACTTTTTATTCCAGAGCTTTGATTAAATCAAAATGACACATCTGCCATGGTGGGAATTGAGCCAGTGTTATCAGAACATTAGAATCCCTACAGTGCAGATAGAGGCCATTTGACCCATCGATTCTGCACTGATCCCATCTTATCCCTGTGACCCACATTTACCACAGTTATCCCACCTAGCCTGCGTGCTGCAAGGCAATTTAGCATAGCCAACGCATCTAAACTGCACATCCTGGGATTGTGGGAGGAAACTGGAGCATCTGAAGGAAATCCAAGCAGAAACTGGGAGGATTTGCAAACTCCACAGACCACCGCCTGAGGCTGGAATCGAACCCAGCTCCCTGGTGCTGTGAGGCTGCAGTGCTAACCACTGAGCCACCTATAAGCCTGGTTACTAGTCTCGTTATATTACCACTATCCCATCATCTCCCCTTTAAAAGTCAAAGTCTTTTAATTAGAAGATGCCACGAATGCAGGTTAATATGTAAGATCACTTGACCTGAAACATTAACTCTGTTTCTTTCCACAGTTGCTGCTTGAGCTGTTGAATTTTTCCAACATTTTTTGTTTTGACTTGGAATTTCCAGTGTCCACAGTATTTTGTTTTTGAAAGAGTTTTTGCTCTTTTATTTTGAAAGGAGTTGCTGACTGAGAAGTATCAGGATCCTGATGTAGTCTTTGACATCTGCAGCTGTCAGTTTGTCTACCATTATTCCTTTGAAACGTTACAACAGGCAGACACCATGCTGAAGAATGCCTGTGAACGCTTGCGTCCTGGAGGGTACTTCATTGGAACTACACCAAATGCTTTTGAACTTGTGTGAGTCTTAATTTATCTTGGTGTAAATTGTTTCATCTTTACAAGAATTTGAACATGGGTATGGGAGGAAATAAATAACAGGATGACTGAATGAGAAAATGCTAAGTGAGATCCAAACTTCCAGGAATTTCGTTGAACATGTTGTTATGTTCAGCTTCAAAGGATTACCAAGGGAACTTGTTCCACAGCTGAAGCTTTTTGATGAAAATGTTGTATTTTGCTTTCCTTCTTGATAACATGTAACTTGATATTTGAATATTTTATTGTGAGAAGCCAGTGGTTTTTAATAGTTCAATAGTCTAACACTAGCCATGAAAACTTAACCTGGTCATCCAACTCACTGTTCTTTGAAGTCGTCTTTTGATCATCTCTGTACCTACATCTTACTGTCCTGTCCTTTCTCAGGCTAGTAGACTTTAAGACAGGTGGATTGTGTTGACTGCCAAGTTCAACAAAGTGTGTTTTCATTCGAACATGTTTCATCTTCCAAAAGTAGTCCAGTATATTTTTTGATCTTCCACACTGCATCCAAATATTGCTTTTTTGTTTTTGTAGATTTATCAGTACACATGCTCATAACTACTGATATTTGTGGATTAAATCCCCCATCTTGTTTCCTTGTTTCCAAATTACAACAGTGTTCTCTAGTAAATGGCTCACCATTTTTGGGAATGTGATGAATTGACTCCCACTAGTCTCCAGCTTTGACACTGTACAGGATGAAGCAGCCAACTTGATTGGCACCTGTTCCATTTGCCTAAATATCCACCCCCTTCACCATAAGTGCATTGTATGCATCCACAAAACCTAGAACCTCCTCCACTATCTAAGGAAGGGAAACAGGTGCATATGAATGCCCCTGTAAGCTCCCCACTTTGTTGCACAGCGTTGTAACTTGGACTGCCATTGTTGACTCAAAGTCTTGGAGCTCCTTACCAAAAAGCACCTTCTTTATGCAGATTGGAGCTGTTCAAGAAGACCCACTGCTATTAGATAATAGAGAAATGCTAGCAGGTCTAGTGATGTCCATATCTTTGGACTGACTGCAAGAAATAGCTATTTAGGCTAAATTAATTGCATTTAAGAACATAAATGGGAGTAGATATTTGATCTTTTGAATGGATTCAAATCATTTAGTAAGATTATGGCTCCTCTTCTACCTCCTAGCCTACTTTCTCCATTATGTTATATCCCTTAACTCCCTTACTATGGACAAACCTGTCAAACAAAAAAGAACTAAAGCTGCTGGAAATCAGAAAATTAAACAAAATGCTTGAAAAACGTAGGTGGTCTGGTAGCATCTGTGGAGAGAAAGCAGAGTTAATGTTTCAGGTCCAGTGACCCTTCAGAACTGAAGAAGCCCCTCAATCCTCGACTTAAATATTCTCAATGACTGAGCACCCAGTTCTCTAAAGGGTAGAATTTTCCAAAGATTCAGTCTTCTGAGTCAGCAAATGACTCCTCATCCCCGACCAAAACGATGTGTGTCCCCTTGTCCACCTCCCCACTTTGCAAATGTGAGCCACTAGCTCTAGACTCATTGTCCAGGAAAATGTCCTCCTCACTATCTATCTACTCAGTCAAATTCCTTAAACATATAATATTCTTAATGAGATGACTGTTGTTCTTCTAGACTCTGGAAAATATGAACCCTATGCACTCAAACCTCCCTGATAGGGAATGTGCCATTTGCATTAATTATTCGCCAAACCTTTTAAATTCCTGTGCAAGGCTACCTAAGTCCTATTGAATACTGACATTTCTTAATCTGTAATCTATTAACAATTTTTATTTTTCTTACCAAAGCAGATAACTTTGCATTCTTCTGGTGTATATTCTACCTGCCACATTCTTGCCCACTAAACTCTTATTTTCTTTCACAGCTGCTTTGCTGTCTTCTCAGCTTCTGTTCCCACTTGCACCTGAGCACATTTCACTCAGTGCTCCAAGGTTGATCATTGAAAGAGATTGTAAATAGTGGAGGTTCAATCAATTAATTTGGCAAGTACATGGACTGAGTGAATGTGACTTCCTTTCTTTGTCACTAATTTTGAGAACTTGTGATACTCCATCCGAGTTAAAGCTAAATTTTGGAGGTAGCTGAAGTCCCACGTCTGACCATAATAGTACCTACTTTGTAATTATTGCCAACATGTTATGTTTATCTTCCTTTTCCTGTCCTTCAATAAGTTCACCATGAAACAATAAATTTTATCACTTAATCCTCGACCTCTTTCCTTGCCCACAAACTATTGACATGGAACCTTGTTTATTATGTTGGTGCCATTTTCCAAACAAAGTTTGTCAGCAGATTAGACATGAATGTGCTAACTTGAATTCATTTAGACTCTTCTTTCATAAGTCATGGTTTTCCATATCTTTGTAATTTGGACAGGTCAAGTGAGTGGGGAAATGCATGACAGATGAAATATAATGTGGATAAATGTGAGGTTATCCATTTTGGTAGCAAAAAATAGGCGATAAATTATTATTTGAATCGTGATAGATTGAGAAAGGGGGAGGTACAACCAGACCTAGGCGTTCTTGTACACCAGTTGCTGAAAGTAAGCAAGCAGGTAAAGAAAGCAAGACAACAAGGTGCAGAGCTGGATGAACACAGCAGGCCAAGCAGCATCATAGGAGCAGGAAGGCTGACGTTTTGGGCCTAGACCCTG